TGTTTTGCTGCAAGAACTGTGCATCAAACACAGTGTAGTCCTTCTGTTGGATCACCAGAGAAAGCACTTGCCCTCTGGCCTGGGCGAAAATGGCGCCCAGGGTTCACCAAAGCATGTGATGCTTAAAAATTTCCTGCATTAACTAAACAGTGACAGCTGAAATAGAGCCTCCTGAACTGGAACTATGTTTTAGCAGCAAGCAGCTAAAGTTGCCATGTCATTTCCTTAAGGTGCCCTTGGAGTACTTAAAGCAGATGGATTTGACATTAGATCAGTCCAGCTGACTGTGGCTAATAGTCCTTGCTCAGGAGCAAAGGGAACAAAAAAAGACCAGCTATTAATTAGTGAGTCGAATAGCCCTAGCTTTGAATATCTTTGCTAATTTAAAGAAAAAAAAACATTAAAAGAAGTGGTAATAGTAAAGCCCTATTGTTAAATGTTAATGGTGTTTTTCGCAGTATTGGTACTGTTTTAACAATACTTCAAACTCTTAAGCAAATACTGTTTGGGAAGTTAACTCATTTTTTAATCTAGCAGAGTGTGTCGAGATACTTGATGCATCCAAAGACTTGAGCAGTTCTGCAAGACTAAAAAGTAGAATGTGTGGCAAAGAGCACGAACATTTTCTTTTCCTGGGTCCCTAACAGAGGGATCTGGGTAATATGATTAAATTTGTACCTAGAGATTTTATTGCAGCCACTTTGTGGGACACAGACTATAAGGAAGTAAGAATATGAGCAGTGAGATCAGTAAAGAGACTGCAGTAGAACCATGAAGGAAAATAATGTGAGTGGGGATCAAGGTGGTAGCCACAGAAATAGAGACCAGATGATATGTCAGAAGCTTAAACTCATGCATTTTTGTTTTTGAAACAGAGCCTCATTTTTAGGTCAGTCTGACCTTAAACTCACTGTTCAGTCTAAGATGGCTTTGAACTCCTGATCCTCCTGTCTCTGCCTCCCAAATGTGGGAAATACAAGTTTATGCCACTAATAGATTTTTAAATTTTATTAATTATTCAAAGTCTATTTTGTACAATATTATGCTAAAGGTTTGTTCTTGTGTTATACATAATAATTATGAAGACAAGTCCCTCATTCTCATGAATGTTATAATACAAAATAAAATAAAATAATATTTGGAAAACCATATCTAAGGAAAATAAATCAAAATGATAAACATAATTTCTTGTGTTATACATAATAATTATGAAGACAAGTCCCTCATTCTCATGAATGTTATAATATAAAATAAAATAAAATTTGTAAAACCATATCTAAGGAAAATAAATCAAAATGATAAACATTGGTACCAAGTACAGATTTAGAATTAGAGTTTTGTAGCCATCACAAGCAAAACCAGAAAAGTAATAGTTTATTATGTAAATGCCTGACACACGTCTACAATACTTTTTTCACTATTTCTTTGACTTTATGCCCTTGGACCTCTTCTTTATATATGAATTTCTTTTTGATATTCCAGGTTGGCCTCAAAGTCAATATGTAGCCAAAGATGACCTTGAATTCTTGCCTCTATCTCTCAAATGCTGGGGTTACTGGCATGTGCCACCATGCTCTGTTTATGTGGTACTGGGGACTGAATGCAGGGCTCTACACATGTTAAAGATTAGCTCTACCCACTGAGCTATGTCTTAAGCCTCTGTATATTAATTTTATTTTTTAGAAATTTCCAGAAATAGGTGATGGAGAGATGGCTCAATAGCTAGCATTTACTGATCCTGCCAAGCCCCAGGTTTGATTCTCAGGACTTACATGACAGCTCTCAGCCACCTATAACTCCAATTGAAGGAGCTCCAGCTCCCTTTTCTGGCTTTATCCAGTGCCAGGCATTCATGTGATGAATGGACGTACATGCGGGCAAAATATTCAGACCGTAAAAAGTAGTGAAATTAAAAAGGGAAAAGTCTCATTTACACCAAGTTTTACCATTCAGATGATCATTTCTTCCTAAAGAACTGTTTTCAACATTTTTCTTCAGCCTGATGTTTGTGTAGTTTCAACACTGAATATCCATATGGGAGAGAATAAAAGCAGATCCTTATTTCTGGTCCTGTACAAATACCAACCCTAACTGAATCAAAGATCTTATTGGAAGACCTGAAACTCTGAGACTCTTAGAGGAAAAAGTAAGAGGAACGCTTCATAGGCAAGGGGTTTCTGAAGATGACTCCAGTTGCAGTAGTAGGAAAGTTGAGAATCACTGCTCCAGAGGAATAATACTAAATGCAGATACAGGGGCGGGGTGTGGGTGGGGACTTGTGGAGGAGTATACTCAAAGTACATTATATAGTTGTGTAAGAAAGGTCCTTATACAATCCAATGTCCAGTACAATGAATATCCACCAATGGAAGATGTTAATTGGGAATGCAATGTTGTCCTTACCATCCCCTTCCCTTTTACTCAGGGGCTTATCCTCACAAGCAAAACCAGACAGATCCTAGGGAATGATAGTTAAGAACTGCAAACTAAACAAAGTAGTTGCCCCACATGAAAACTGTCATGCCATATAGGGTATGTTTTCTTTCTTAAAAAGACCTGTAGGATCTAAGGCATATACTATGCAGCTGTTGAATTTGCAAATGTCTTCTTCTCTTTTGGAAAAGACAAAACGAAATTCATATTTGCACAAGGCGTTGGTGGCTCACGCCTTTAATCCCAGCACTCGGGAGGCTGGGGCAGGTGGAGCTCTGTGAGTTCAAAGTCAGCCTGGTCTACGGAGTGAGTTCTAGGACAGGCTCCAAAGTTACACAGTGAAACCCTGTCTCAGAAAAAGAAAACAGAAAAGGAATTCATACTTGCAAAAGATGGGCAAAATTTTTATTTCTGTTTCTCAGAGTTCCTGTGGTAATTTGAGTAAGAATAGTCCCCATAGGCTCATAGATTTGAATGCTTGGTCATCAGAGAGTGGCACTGCTTGAGAGGGATTAGTAGGTGTGGCCTTGCTGGAGTAGTTATGGCTTGGTTGGGGGAAGTGTGGTCCTGGGGGTGGGATTTAAGGTCTCAAAGACCCAAGCCAGTCCCAGTGTTTATCTTCTGTTGCCTGCTGAGCTGGATTTAGAACTCGCAACTACTTCCCCAGCACCATGTCTGCCTTTATGCCACCATGCTTCCTGCAATGATGACAATGGACTAAACCTTTGAAACTATAAGCAAGCCCCAGTTAAATTATTTTCTTCATAAGAGTTGCCATGTCTGGGAGGTGGTGGCACATACCTTTAGTTCCAGCACTCAGAAGGCAAAGGCAGGAGGAACTCTATGAGTTTAAGGCCAGCCTGGTCTAAAGAGTGAGTTCCAGGACAGACTCCAAAGCTACACAGTGAAACCCTGTCTCAAAAAACAAGCAAATAAACAAACAACAACAATAAAAAGAGTTTCCATGCCATGATGTCTCTGCACAGCAACAGAACATTGACTAAGACATCCTCTCCTGTACTCAGAAGAACCTAGAGTAACAGGACAATTTTTTAAATTAATAATTAATTTTTCCAGACCCTATCATATTTCCCCTCCCTCCTCTCTTCCCCACCCCAACCACCCACCTACCCCTCCTCTTTTCGATTCAGAAAAGGGCAGCTCTCCCATGCATATCAGCCAGCCATGGCATATCAAGTTGCAGAAAGACTAGGCACCTCCTCTCTTATTAAGGCTGGCCAAGGCAACATATAGGAGGAAAGGATCCCAAAAGCAGCTAACAGACTCAGAGACAGCCTATAGGACAATTTAAAGTGTGTTGTGTTTGTTCTTACTGCTGATGATAAATCATTTGTGAAACATGAGCAAAGTGTGATATATTGAAGGCCCTGATAAAATACATTTGCTCTAGGACAGAGAGATTTCCAGTGAAGACACAGGAACCACCCACCTAAGACCTGAAGTATATCATCTGGGACATACCAGACCATCTTTTCCAAACAAAGAAATCATTGTATCATGAACATTAATCTTTAAGTAGGAAGTATCAAGCCTGGTTCGCCTATTCAGGTTCTAGATGCAGAAATATGGCCATTCAAAATTAATACTCTGAATAACCTGAACATATTCTTTTCCATGTTTCCCCATTTGACTATGGTTTTGTATTTGTGTGCATATATTCAGTGTAATGCTCTTGGTACTAGAGCCATCTTTCCTAGATAAATGTAGCTACCTCCCCTCATCAAAGAAGCCTCTCTTTACAACAAATAGAGAAGACCATCATGGAAAACTGCAGCTGGGTATAATGCAGAGATCAATAGATCATAGGGAGGCCAGCCCCAGCAGATATATCTACATCTCATCTGCATCTGTGGCCCAGGGTACACGGAGGCAAAAAAGACTATTAAGCACCAGAATACCAGGAAGTCAGATATGAAACCGTTCCTCCTAGAAATGGCTGCAAAGCCAAGACCGGAACAATGGCAATATCAATAGACGTGTTAACTTGGAAGAGGGGTAAAATTTCACAGGGTGCCACCCCTCACCAAAGAACTACAGGCAACTATTGACTACTAGGAAATGAAGAATTAGTCTGTTCCAGGGGTGAACCGTCTTATTGATTGTCCAATGCAGAGAGGTCAGCCTTAAAATCACGTATACACATACAACAACAAAAAACGACTTAGCAGGTCGTTTGTGCATGCAACACATATATGAATGTAACACTAATAAAAAGACGCTATCAACTTGAGACTGGGGTTTCTTGGACAGGACTAGAGGGAGAAAGGGAGGTAGAAATGATGTAATTCTACTTCAGTTAAAAAATATATACATAATTTTAATTCTTTTTACGAAGCAACCACGAAAAGGGGGGGGGGAGAAAAGGGGGAGGCAAACCATAGAGTGTCGCTATTGCCTAGAGAGGCCGGAAGTGCCCCGTGCCCCGCCCCCCCGGGGTCGGACTTTCGGACACTTTTGTGACTGCGGGGTGCTGCGCTGTGCTGCGATCGCGGGTGGGTTTGGGTCCCTCTTGCTACCGTCCTACGGCGGGCCCGGCTGCTTGTGGGTGGTGAGGGTGGGACAGAACACCTTCCTCTGCGGCCTAGCGGCGCCGGCAAAACAAACTCAGTGGCCGCCTGGGCCGATCGCCCGACAGGGCCTCGGGCGTCTCGCCTCGGGCCGGTTCCGGGTGTCTGGTCAGTCTCAGGGCGTTTGGAGATGGGATTCTTGGGTCATGTACTTAAGCTTTGAAAATGGGAGACGTCACAGTTTTGCTTTTCCTGGAGACAAGGTCAGTTCCAAGGTCTTTAATCTGGGGTACTGGAAAAGGGCCAGAACTTTGGAGTCGGGTTGCCTGGTGGATTCTGGCCTCTGCTACTTTGTGACTTTCTCCCAGTCCCTTAACCATACTGTGCTTTTGCTATTTTAGGGGATAATGATAATCGCCTAACTTACTGGATTGTCGTGAGGAGCAAATGGCTTCATTTGTGCAAGGTGTTTAAAATGGTACTAGGCACGGGGTAATCTGCACAGTGTAAAGATTGCTTTTATTATTACTGTTGCTGTTTCTAACTAGGACAGCACTTTCTCCTCAGTGACTAGCCTTGGTACTGGCTGTTGTCTTTTGAATTTTAGTGCTATTTACCAGCTCTCTTTGTAATGGATAATTTCTGCATTTTAGAAGGCAAAATAAAGCATTCTGGAGAAGAACCTATCGCAAAGGAAAGATTAAAAGTGGTTTATGTAGTGTGTTGTGATGCTCAGAAATCACAGTTTTAAAATCTTGGAGATGCCGTCTTTCAGAGGGAGGAGGAACTTGAGAAGCAGGAGGAGCAAGCAAGGGTAAGGGCCCCTGGTGTGAGCTGACATTGCCGTTTTGCTCGTGCTGCGACCTGCCAACCTCTGACCCTCAGCAAGAACCCTCTCTGCATGAGGATCACATGGATGGATGCCAGATGTGATTGATAGGTAGATCGGTGGTAGATAGAGCTGAAATTGGAGTCACACTAGCAACCTTCGTTGTTTTTGCTGGGTTTTAAGGCTAATATTGACCATATACAGTTTACTATTGTCATTGAATTGATGTCTCTTGCAATCTTTGATAATCCTTCCATCTGCCTCCCCTTTCTTGGGGGCATTTGGGGTTTCTAACATTCTCAGGACCTATAAGGGATCCCTGTAGTAGTCTTTTCTCTGTTAGTAACTTAACAAAAAACTGAAAACCTTGTCTTTGGTGTACATATTTGGCAAACACTTCCTATTTGTAAACAATCCTGATCCTGTACCCTTGGTACTCTGCCCAGTTGGGCTGAGACTCCAGATAGACAGTGACGAAACAGGAGTGGTTCAGAATTATTTTTAAGACTATATCAATGTCCATTTTTCTCGATACAGCCTCTCCCTCCCAAAACCCTACACCCTCTCAATCTCAGGTTTACTCTTACACTCCTTGACCCCAACAAAATGCTTTGGACTGTATTTAAGAAAGAAAAATAGGATTTTGTTTAATATTCGAGATTATTTTGGGAAAGATTTAAATGTAAGTCAGAGAAAAGCTTCAACTCGCCCATCATTCAGCAGTAATTTTTTAGACATTTTCATTCATGTTTTTTCTGCCTTCCCCTTTTCTTCACTGCCATCCTCTCCCCATCTGTCCTTCCCTACCTCCCTTTTCCTTCTCCTCTCCTCCCTTCTTTTCTTCCTTTCGTTCGTTATACAGGAAACCGGAGGCCAAGGCATCATAACCTCCCATCTGCAAGCATGTCAGTGCTAAGACAGGAACTTTAATCTAGCTACACTATCACAATAAACAGAATTGAGTGTAATTCCTTAATACTATCTTCATGTTTTCCTGATTGACCCACAAAAGTCTTTTTACAGTTCTGGGATGTTGTTTAAACTACATGACTTGTATTGAATTGCTGTCTCTTGTAATCTATGATAGTCTGCTTTCCTTTGCTTCCTCTTTAAAATGCCATTTATTTGTGGGAGAACATGGGTGTTCAATATTCTCATATTAGTTGCTTTATTCTACTGATATTTTAAAAATCTTTTATCTTTAGCTTCTTATTTATCAAACTTGGCTGTGCTTTGAATCACATAGTAAGTTCACAAATGCTGAGGCCTGAGGCCCACCCCAGAAGCTAGCTCAGTTGACCTTAGCTGGCCAATCATTAGGAGTCTTTAAAAGCTTCCCAGTGATTCTGTTGCATAACATAGCTTTGATGCTTTTAATTTGCTCTTGTATGTTTACCTGTACTTGTGTTCTGGGATCTAGAGGTGTGATTAAGTTTAGGTTCACTTATTTGAGAAAAAAATTAAAGAGTATCCCAGATCTCTTGTGACAGCTAATTAGGAAGAAGTATTTTCTGTCTTTTTCTAACAGTTGATGTGATATTCATCCAGGTGTGATGGTTCTTACTAGCAATCTCGGCTCTTGGGAATCTGAGTCAGGAAGATTGCCATGAGTTCAAGGACAGCTTGGGCTACATGGAAAATTCAAGACCACTGTCTTACAAAGCCAAAAGAAAAAAGCACAGTTCAGTCAAGGTTACTTAACTTCCATCTGTCATCTAAACTGCCCCTTGAACTATAGAAAGTTGGAGTGAGACATAGAAATTCAAATGAGCACAGACTTGGAAATATTTTCCCATAGTAACTCTACCAGCCTTACTCGTTCTGATCTCCTTTGTTTCAGTGGTAAAGAGGAGTACACTGAATCTCAGTGGACTCACGGAACTCTGCAGGCAGTTCTAGCTTAAAAATCTCATTCCTTCTGACTCAAAGGAATTGGATCTTCCATCCTTCTTAGGAAGCCCGGGTCTCACAGTGTCTGAGAAGCTGTGAAAACCTGAAACATTGACTGGTTAATATGTGACATTTCCAAGGTCGTACATCTGATAGTGTGGAGGAAGAGCTTCTGTAAATGCCTTATTCCAGTGCCCATGTTCTAACTCCAGTGGGATACTCATCCAGCTTTCTTTGGCCCTCTTGTGAGGCACATTGTACAGCCACTGAATACCCATTTAAGACAGTTTTGAGATTACACAGTGAAGGAAAAAGAGGGGTATCTCCCTTTCCTCATTCTGCCTGGGTCAAAAATCTCCAACACATCTGCCCATCCATCTGCTGTCTGTTGTCCAACCATGGGAAAAAAGCATGCCAGCCTATGTGCTGTGGAGACAGACTTTGCCCTTAACTTCTTAAGTAGACGACTACCTCCTCTGGTTTCTAAGTTTGCTGTAAGCTTAGAACACTGAGATGAATCAGCATATTTTCCAGTTTTGAAGTTTGTGTGTGTGTGTGTGTGTGTGTGTGTGTGTGTGTGTGTGTTCAAATGTTAGTGTGCTTATATATACTGGTACATGCACACACGTATGCACATGGAAGCCAGAGGTCAGTAGTGAATGTCTTCCTCTATTGTTTACCACCTTTATTTTTATTTATTTATGTTTCTGAGACAGGCCTCTTAGTGAATATAGAGCTCACCAACTGGGCAAGAGTTGGCCATCAAATTTAGGGATCCTCTAGTCTGCATCCCCGCTGCTAGAATTATAGGTCCACTGAAATTGAGGTACAAGTCTTAGTTTCTCTCTCCAGAGGTGTGGGGTGTTCAGACCCACTTCTAGAACATCCTTCAGACCCACTTCTAGAACATCCTTCAGAAAGCTTATTCAGATTTCCTAATTACTCTGGCAAAATACCTAACAATATAACTTTAAAGAAGGGTTTATTTGAAGATACTGTCTATCATAGAGGGGAAGTCAGAGGCAGAAGGTTGGGATGGCTGGTCACATTCTGTCTGTAATCAGGAAGCAGAGAGATGGATACCAATGCTCTACTTTCTACTTTTTATTCGGTCTAGAACCTTAGTCTATGGAATGGTATGTGGTAAATTTTGTTTATGATCTAACAAATAAAGCTTGCCTGAAGATCAGAGAAGCAAAGTAGCCAGCCACTAGAGAGTTATCACCTCTACCAATGCTCAGAACAAAGGGGTGATCCACCAATCCTCAAACTGCTCCTTACTGTACTGTTCTTCAGACTCACTCAGACTGCAATACACTCCTGTCTCCTCTGGCCTTACATTCCTCTCTAGTGCTGGGATTAAAGGCATGGAATCCCAAGTGCTGGGATCACCTTTGTGTGAGCTCTGTTTCTCTTTTAAACTGGATCGATTTCGTGTAGCTCAGAATAGCCATGAACTAACAGAGATCAATCTACTTCTGTCTCCTGAGTGCTGGGATTAAAGGTGTGTACTACCACTGCCTGTCCTCTATGGCTGTGGCTAGCTTTGCACTCTGATCTTCAGGCAAGCTTTATTGTTAGCTCATAAACAAAATATCACCACAATGGTATATACACATTGAGTCTTCTTATATGTTAGCTCTATAAAAATACCCTCAGAATCTCCTAAATGATCTTAAACCCTGTCATGTTAACAAGATTAACTTGTGATAATTAAATACATTACTTAAATCATATATTAACCTTGGCCTCAACAGTCATATTCATCTCATAATGTCAAATGTGCTTTAGTCTGTCTCCAAGTATTCATATAGTATTTAATAGTTCTAACACTATTCAGAATGTAAGTGCAGTCTTTCTGCAACTCAGGCAATCACTTAACTGTCAGTTTCTATAAAAATAGTACTTGTAATGTATTTCTGTTATACATGGGCACAAAGTAAACATTCCTATTCCAAACATGAGGAATGGGAGCATAGCAGGGAAAGATTGGACTAAAGCAAGACTGAAAAACACCAAATCATGCACATCTGGGTCTCATGATGGAATCATCTGGGTTTAACAACTGTGGGCAGCTCTATCTCCAGCTCTATTGTCTACAGCACATGTGACCTCTCTTGTGCTCACTCTACTCAGTGCCTTGGCTTTTCTCAATGGATGTCCCATGGTCCTGGCATCACCTATATTTTGGAATCCCCATTACAATTTAGGCTTTATAGTCCTAGCTTCATGGAGTGGCCTTCTTGTGGGGAATCTGACCCCAGCACACAGCCCAGTCAGAGAGTCTTTCTGGAATTGTGCAAGACTCGGTGATCCCTTTTGTATCTTTCATGCTTGCAAAACCAGTACTACGTGGATGATTCTTTCAAATAATGCTTGCTTGAAATGTAGCTGGATTCCTTTATACCACTGTTGTAATGGTCTCCATGTGCCTTTGAGGCTGACCCAGAGTTGGGGGGGGGGCATGCTTCCTTAGGCAGCAATTTTGAATCAGGAAACTCTTGTGGTAATGGTCTCAGTTTAGGTTCTCCCTTTTACATGAATATCATAAGTTAGCATTTTGAATGGATGGATGGGGTCTTGCCCTGAGAGAGCTCTCCGTATTGTAGATTCCCAGATGTAGAACACAAAATTTATCTTTCCTGCTGTTAGTGTGACAATTACAGAAGCTTTGCCTGCCTGTACCCTCATTGTTTCATTACATTAGAACACACTCATTTCCTACACAGACCACATTTTTCATATATTTTTGGTTTCTCTATTTATTTGAATAAGAGCAGTAAACACTAGTCATGCCACAGCCTGAATGCTGTCCTGTTTGTAATTTCTCCTGCAAAATAAATTAGTTGTTGCTAAAGTTTTCTTGTCCCACCAGGTCCTGTGGCCACTTCAGCCCCAAATGAATAATTAGTCTGTTATTTTTTTTTAATTCACTATTAAGTTTTCATGGCATGGACTAAATGCAGCCAGATTCTTTGCCAGAAGTAAACATAAACAGATTCTGTTCCAGTTCCTGAAAGGGCCTGTATTCCACTCTGAAACATCAGCTAGGCTTCCACTGCTCACCTGCTTCTGGTGTTCTGAAATTCCAGTCTCTCTCACCAGAGTGGCTCATTAAGTTAGTTATATCCATCTGGGACTTAGCCTATAGCTCCAGACTCTTGTGTTCTCTCCACAAGCCAGTGCATAGGTGAGAAACGCATGACCAAGTTTATCACAGTAGCAGCCTCTCTTCTCAAGTCTAGTTATGTTAAGTACTTATTGCTGTGACAAAATACCCAACAGAAGCAAGCAGAGGAAGGGTTTCTTTTGGTAGACAGGGTGAGGGTACAGTCCAACATGGAGGCAGCTACTCGCGTCTCTGTAGTGAGGAAGCAGAGAGAAGAAGAACGCTGTTGCTCCGCTGCTGTCCCCTTTTTGTGTGGGGTCGGAGTCCGTGGAATGATGACTTAAGTTTAACCTCTCCAGAACACCCTCTCAGAAATGCATAGTTGATTCTAAACTCCCTAAGATGTCACAGAACGGAAATCTGAACATGGGGATATCCTCGGCTGCTCCTTGGCAGTTTCCCCGGGGTCCTGGACATAGGAGGAGGGGAGCAATTGCAACTACAAGTAGCTCATAGTCGTCTCCACCTCTCTTTCAGTAGTCTTTTGCAGAAATACAGCTCACAGCTACCGTGAAACGGGAGAACTACTTGGCTCGGGATGGCTAGAGAATCAAGGGAAAGCACAGCCCTGGACTCGCACTCTGCTGAGGACCAGATGGAGTTACTGGTCATAAAAGTCGAACAGGAAGAGGCCTCTCCCTTGGCCGAGGAGGCCAGTTGGCTGGGCAGCCCTGGGCCCGACCGCTCCCGACAGCGCTTCCGCGCCTTCCGCTATCCCGAGGCAGCTGGGCCCCGGCAGGCGCTGAGCCGGCTCCGAGAACTCTGCAGACAGTGGCTGCGGCCAGATATGCACAGCAAGGAGCAGATCCTGGAGCTGCTGGTGCTGGAGCAGTTCCTGACCATCCTGCCAGGGGAGCTGCAGGCCTGGGTGCGCGAGCAGCACCCCGACAGCGGGGAGGAGGTGGTGGCGCTGCTGGAGTACTTGGAGAGGCAGCTGGATGAGACACCTCCACAGGTAGAAGGAACAGGTTTAGGGTCTGAGACCTATGCCCTGTGCCTTCCAGAAACCTCAAGACAGATCCAAGGGAGGAATTGCTTAGAACCCGCGAAGTCTCAGTCTGAACTGGGAACCTGAGGCAACCAGCGAAGTGACCTGGACCCCTCAGAATAGTTAAAAGCACAAAGGAAAGTACAAGGATTGGGAAGAACTCAGGCCTAGAGAAATCGGGTAGAATGTGCTGAGCAGAGCGGTGAAAGGTTAGATGTGGACTTCTTAATTCGTGTGCTCAGTAAGGCCCAAGAACAGGTTTGAGCACAGTGGCAATAGGCACAAACGACTTGGTTGGTGTTTCCTTGGCCTCTCACATGTGGTATCTTCAGTGCTGTGGAGTTTATGTCACCTTGCTTTGGTGTTCTCTTGACAATGGAGGGAAATTCTACAGTTTTCTTAGATCTAGAAAGGTTTTTTTTTTCCCTATCCAAATTCATGAACCCCTTGTTTGATTGTGTGGTAGAAAATGGGCTGGTTTTAGCTTCCGTCTTTGGCCTGTTTTAGGAGGCCATGTCTGTGTTCCCTAGTATTTTTTATTCAGGGGACATGTAGTCTTCGAACCAGTGACCAAAGCCAAAGTTCTGGACTTAGAGTTATTGCCCGAGTTTTGTAACAGCGAAGGGTCGCTACAGCCTCTGAACTCATTCTGTATAAAAAATGTGGGGATGCTGAGCAGCAGAAGAGAGTGGAACTTTGAAAGTGTAACTTAATGATCTAGAAGCAAATCTGCATCTGATAGCACATGCCACACCCTGCTGGGTGGTTTCAAATGCTGTAGTCTTACTGGTTTCACCCACTCTAGACAAACTAGAAATAGCATCCTCAATTTTCTGATAAGAAATTAGCATCTAATGGATTTATATCACCATTTTCCTAAATGGGTTCATAACCCTACATGTACATAATAGGAAGCATTGAGTGGACTGTGGAAGCATTTGCCTAATCTCCCATCTAACTTTGTCATTTAGTAGAGTGATTTTGGATGAGCTGTACCCTCATGAAGTTGTTGTTTGTAAAAAAAAAAAAAATGAATGCATACTTGTAGAATTTGGAGACAGTGTCAAGCTGAAAGTACTTTGGAAATGTCTGATAAATAGATGGACAATAAAAATAAATGAATGACTTCTAGGTTCCAGATGATGACGATGGGCAGGAACTCCTTTGTTCCAAGGCAGTACTGTTGACTCAGGGCTCAGAGAGTAGCCAGATGGAGCCCATGGAGCCTCTGCTTAAACAGGAGTCTTTGGGATCCCTGCCCTCAGAAGTCAGAGGTTAGTAATACTAGCCTTTACTTGTTTTACCTTCTTGTGTGGTACATGTGATGAAATCCAAGACTTCACACATGCTAATGAAATGCTTTCCCAATAAGCCATACTCTGGCTTTTCAAGAGCTTTTGCGTATCTTCAGAGAATACCTTTGGATTTGGTAGTCATCAGGGTTGTTTTTTGTTTTTTCAAGACAGGGTTTCTCTGTATTGTTTTGGAGGCTGTCCTGGAACTCTCTTTGAAGACCAGGCTGGCCTCGAACTCACAGAGATCCGCCTGACTCTGCCTCCCGAGTGCTGGGATTAAAGGTGTGCGCCACTGCCTGTTGCCATCAAGTATTTTGAAAAGGAAAATATTTTATAAACTTACATTTGGAAAAGTTTATTAATCAACCTTTTAAACCTGGGTTCCACAATTCGAGGAGGCTGGATACTAGTGTGAGTCTCACCCAGAGCTTTTTGTTGTAGTCACCCAGGGGGGCCACTGTGGAGAAGATGGAGTGACAGCTCCCAGGATCACTTCAGAGTTGCAGGTGAGCTAGAGCTATTCCCCCTCCTCAACATCCTTAACTGCTACTGTGCTTCCTTTCCACCCCATCTCTATTCCTAGCCTCCATTCTCCACCCAGTTCCTAGTTGGGGTATGAATTTCCTTATTCATCCCAAGATCTGTTTACTGTTTAACTTCCCATAGCATGCATGCTTGAGGTTTTGGCATTTAGGGGTGGAATGGGTGAGCCTGTGCACTTGCAACCCAGATATTCCCTGTTCCATCTCTTTGTTGAACTTTTATGCTTTTAGGGGTTGTTGAAAATGGAAGATGTAGCCCCAGCCCTTTCCCCCAGATGGACGGAGCAGGATTCATCTCAGATGAATCTCTTCAAAGACCAAATGCAGGAGAACTCTGGCAGCCTGCTTTCCCTAGGTAAGACTTCTGGATGCTAATTTTATCTCAGGCTTCTTTCTCACTTTTCTATAATAGAACTCCTTCCCCTGTAGGGTTTTTAGAAGCTGTTGAGTCCATTATGTTTGAAATTATAATTTATAAACATACTTTGAAAGCCTGTTACTGACTAGATCCTTAATGCTTGTAATCTTTGTTCTCTGTCACAGTTAGGGTTTCTATTGCTGTGACAACACCATGACTAAAAACAACTTGGGGAAGAAAGGATTGATTTCAGCTTACAGCTCCATATCAGAGTCCAACATCAGAGTCAGGACAGAAACTCAAAGCAGAAACAGAAGCCATGGCAGGGTGCTGCTTACTGGCTTGCTTTTCATGGTTTATTCAACCTGTTTTCCTGAATACTCCAGGACAACCTGTTCAGGGGTGACTGCCATATGAGCTAGGCCTTCCCACATTTATAATTAATCAAGAAATGCCCCACAGATTCACCTACAGGCCGGTGTTATAGAGGGATGGTCTCAATTAAGATTCCTTCTTCTCAGATATGTCCAGGTTTATGTCAAGTTGATGAAAACAGAGTAGCACACCCCCTGGGTGTTCTAGTCAAGACAAGTGGGATAAAGTAGATCCCATCCCTAGTGTTGTTCTGCCGCAGAGGAGATGCTGGGTAAAGTTTAAGTAGTGGGGCTTGCATCTCAGAGGTAGAGCACTTTCCTAGCATGTATGAGACCAGACTTCAATGAAATGGAAAAAAAAGACTTCCCTTTCCCTTCCTATCCCATCCATGACTAGTGAAAAACCTGAGGAGCTTCTCCACAAGAAACAGGTCGTGGAGTTACAGTTTGAGAATTAGATGTAACATTAGATACCAGCTTTAGGTCCTGGTCCTAGAGGCAAGGACACTGACGGTTATCAGACTTGTCAAAAATCACACAATTCATTGGTGGCATGGTAGTGGCCCCAATTTTGTCTCAGAAAGCTGATGCTCTATTCTGGTGTACCTGCCACTGCCAGGGCACAGTTCACCGTAACTGCCTTTGTCTTTATCACAGACAAATGTGAACACTGTAGAAATCTTTTCACTTGCCCTGTTTTCTGTTACTTCCTGTACTCAATCCCTCTTACACCTGTTCTAGTTTGTTTTCTCTTGCGGTCATAAATACCATATGATCCCAAATACTATGACTTCTTGTGGGCATCAAGGGTTTATTTCCATGACACAGTTGAGGGACATCAGAGCAGGAACTCAAGCAGGAATCTGAGGGCAGGGACTGAAGCAGAGACCATTGAGAAATGCTGCAAACTGGCTTACTCACCTACTTTCTTTTACAGTCAGAACTACCTGCCCAGGGATAGCATCCCTCACTGTGTGCTGGGCCCTTCCACATCATTGATTAAACAAGAAAATGCCCCACAGATTTGTCCACAGACTGATCTGATGGAGGTGGTTCCTCAATTAAGATACCCTTTTCAGATGTGACTCTAGTTTGTGTCAAGTTGATAAAAAAGTAACCAGCACAAATTAATTGACCCTTGTCAACTTGACATAAAAATACATTACTATTAAACCAACCTTTCCTTTCTTGTTTATCCCCAAGAGCTTATGTTAATATCCCCCAACATAAAACAATATAATTTTTTTTAAATCTCATGGTCTTTTTAAAAATCTCAACACTTTAGAAATAGATCTTTTTGAAATATCCAGCCTCTCTTGGTTTTTCAAGACAGGGTTTCTCAGTAACTATGGAGCCAGTCCTGGAACTCACTCTGTAGACTAGGCTGGCCTTGAGCTCACAGAGGTCTACCTGCCTCTGCCTCCCCAGTGCTGGGATTAAAGGCATGTGCTATCACCGCCCAAAAAATACCAGTCTCTTTAACTGTTGGTTCCTGTAAAATTAAGAACAAGTTAAATGATTCTTTATTCCAAAAGGGAAGGACTGGGGCATAAAAACTATTACACTTAAGCAAAGCCAAAGTTCAGCAGTATAGCTTTAAATCTTGTAGCTCAATATCCAAGATCTATGACCCACTAATGATTTTCTGACCTCCAACGGGCTTGGTCAGCTCCAATTCTTTCCAGCAGAGAAAGTGCAGAATTTAATCTTAGGTGTATGTTTATGCTACCTTTCTATTATTACAGAATAGAATAGAGGTTCCCATGCTACCTCCACTGTGTGTCCACAGAAGTTGTTAGTTCTCACTAGCTTTCCTCCGCTCCCTCCATTCTCGGTTTTACCCTTCTTCTAACAGCTCCAAGCCTGTTTTTGTGTCTTCCTAGCTTTTCTGTTACCCTCCTTTTTGTCCCATCCTAATTTCTGCATTTAAATGCTTGACAGTGGTATATATAGAGAGACCCTTGTAATCCTTGTCTCTGTGCTATTCACCATAATGCTCCTATGCAAAACATAATTAACAGTTGTTGGCATATGTGTTTCAGATCAGGAGATGCATTCTAAGATTAGGGACTTGACTCCAGCTGAGGAATACACAGAACAAAAGCCTGAGCAGACACTGTGCTACTTGGGTGAAGACACTGTTCAGATTCCTGCAGGTGCAGAAGCCAGTGAGCAGGAAGGCAAGCTACAGACAACACAGAAGAACGCCACTGGAAATAGGCGGTTCTATTGCCGTGAATGTGGAAAGAGTTTTGCTCAGAGTTCAGGTCTAAGTAAGCACAAAAGAATCCACACTGGATTGAAACCCTATGAATGTGAGGAGTGTGGCAAAGCCTTCATCGGAAGTTCAGCTCTCATCATTCATCAGAGAGTTCACACTGGTGAGAAGCCATATGAGTGTGAAGAATGTGGTAAGGCCTTCAGTCACAGCTCAGATCTCATCAAGCACCAGAGAACCCACACTGGGGAAAAGCCCTATGAGTGTGATGACTGTGGGAAAACCTTCACTCAGAGCTGCAGCCTCCTTGAACATCACAGAATTCACACCGGGGAGAAGCCATACCAGTGCAATATGTGCCCCAAAGCCTTTAGGCGTAGCTCACATCTCCTGAGACATCAGAGGACTCATACAGGGGATAAAGATTTTTTTGTTCCAGAACCTTACTGGGAAAGTCATAGTAGGGTGGAAAGCCATTGGGAAAATATTGAAACTCCTGTGTCTTATCAATGCAATGATTGTGAGAGAAGTTTCAGTAGGATTACAAGCCTTATTGAACACCAAAAAGTACACACTGGTGAGAAACCCTTTGAGTGTAAAACATGTGGAAAAGGCTTCACCCGACCTTCATACCTTATTCAACATCAGAGAAGACACACAGGGAAGAAAACTTCTGTCACAGTGACCCCTGCTGTACATTCCGAAGTTGGAGTTCAACTGTCGTTGAACTGAAGTCACCCTTGAGCCCTTATTGACAGCAGAAGTCATAGGCTGGGGCTCTAGTTAATAATGCACATCCTCAGATATTAGGGATCTGGCTGAGACTCATTATCTTCCAATGCTAGAAGGTAACCAGAAGAAAACATAACCTCATAGGAGGTTATGAGAAGGAGTTGTCTGCAAGAGTTCTCACCCATTAGAATCAAATGGGCTTCCTGACTGGCAAATTGCCTTCCCTTGGCCTGCATCTCAGGTCTCCTGAGGGATGCTTATGCTCTGGGGGTGTTACTCTGACCTTTCCTTAGGCTAACAAGTGTCAGACTTGGAAATGTTATGTCCTGCTTTGTGCCTTGTATACAGGTGCTAACTAATAAACACTTATTAAATATACTGGTGGGATTTCCTGCATAGCTCTGAAAACCCATTATTATCTGGAAATCTTTACCAAGGCCATTTGTATATCTTAAAAAAAGAATGTTTTAGGTTGAGTCAATGTAGTACTGCTTTGTTTTTGTTTTGTTTTGTTTTGCCAAGTACCCTGATTGGCAGGGGAGGGGTGAAGGTGAGGTTACTGTGCTAGAATCCTTTAATTCTTTACCTAATTTAGGAATTCTGTGAGAGTGCCTTAAACAGCTTCTTTAGTATTAAGTCATTGTGAATGTGCCACCCATGGAATTCCAGTAATTTTTTTTCTGTTAATTTTGTTACTCTTGAGAGAGAAAAAAAAAAACCTTTCCTACTCATGTAGTGTGAAAACCAGTTCAGAATAAAGTGATCAATGTCTAAGGCTTATCCTCTTGATTTTCACTTTGGTGGTTATCGTGAGCCTAACCAAGAGCTCCTGCCTTCTCTCCTTTTGTCATAACCACGGGCTCAACTGTGGTAAGGCAGTGGGTTGTGTTACCAAGACACAAAAACAAACAAAACCCCTCAGAGCTGGGGAAGGTCCATAAGTACATTTGGTGCATCAGGGTTACTCACAAGATCCAGTGTGTGTGCGCGGCAAGAGTTGGCAGGCGCCTCACTACTGAATAAACAGCACTTGGTCTCTTCATGGGCTCTGTTCCACAGTGTTTGCTACAGGGAGATGGATTTCACAAATTACACTTCATAAGCAGTGACATTGCTAGTTTGCTATGTCCTTGTATGACCAGCTTCCCAAGAAAGAACTAACATCAGATGTTTGCCTGTCTCCTACAGTACTGCTGGGGAATTAACTAATGAACACTCTCTAGCTTGGATCTCAGTCTTTTACTTAAGAGTAGCTGGGCTTCTGCAAACATTCACCAGCCCAGCTCTCCCTTGGGTTCACCAGCCAAAATCAAGGAGCAGTGACCAGACTGACTCTCATGACCGCACCCTTCTGCCATCCATACTTCCTGTCTTGGACATGGCATCTCCCCTGACAAGTGTCCAGTGCCACAGATTCCATCTTTCTAAAGCAGATACCCTATCCACTCATGTTTGGATCTCTGTCTAGCACACATGAGAGTGATTGTAATGGTTAATACTGAGTATCAATTTTACAGGATGTAGAATCATCTGTGGGCATGTCTGTGTCGAGTTTCTAGACTTTTTAAGTGGGCAAGGAAGACCCATCCTGACTATGGGTAGCACTATTCCATGGACCCAACTCCTGGACTGGAAAAAACAAAAAACAACTCTTGATGCAGTATAACAGTCCACCTCACGTTCCTGCCCATGACCTTCCTGCCTGGATGGACTGTACCCTCAGAATGTGAGCTATCATAAACCCTTCCTTCCTTAAGTTGCTGTGTGTTCAGTAATGTGACATAGCAATGAAAGGCAACAGATACAGTGACCCATGGTCCATGTCTACCCACAGCTGTGAGCATCTGCATCTGTGAGAAGTCGCGGTATTGGACAAACTACATATTCATTGAGCATGTATTGAAATTGGGAACAAACCAGTTCCCAGTGATGGGTGTGGAGCTAAATGAATGGAGTTGTGAAACTTGTACATTTTTATTGTCTGCATTAAAAAATTATATAACAAAATAATAAAGGAAGAGACCAAGTTTGAAAAAGAAAAGTATAGCTGGGCTTAATCCCAGCATTTGGGAGGTAGAAGTAGGTGGTTTTCTGAGTTCAAATCTAGCCTGATCTACAGAGCAAGTTCTAAAAAATTCAGAGCTACTCAGAGAAACCCTGTCTCAAAAAACAAAAATAACCAAAAAAAAAAAAAAAAAAGAAGAAGAAGAAGAAAGTATTTCAGTGGAGCACTTGTTCTTGCAGAGGATCCAGGTTCAATACTCAGTACCCACACCGTGTCTTGAAACTATCCATAACCCAGTTCAAGGAATCCAACACCCTCTTTTGACCACTGAGGGCACTGAGCACACTTGGTGCACAGACATACATATGAGAAAAACACTCACAAATGAATCTAAACATCTTTTTAAAGAGTTTCAGGAACATGGTTTTTGGTGTTCTGCTTTTCTCAAAGATCATTCATCTACAACATATTGATAATAAACTGCACAAAACCTAGCCCGGCTAAGTCCACACTTCAGCAAGCCAGTGAATTCACACAAAATATTTTAAATTAAGGATTGCTTGTTTTGGGGCCCAGAACTCCAGTGTGAGTGCAACCGTCTTTTTCTTTTTTTTACATGTTGACTCCAAATTACCTGTAACTAATGCTGCTTAATTACACAGGTGAGTACTTAACCTTTACATTCATTCTCAGTAACTCTCCTGGGACACTGCAGATAAGCATTTGGGGGAGGGTTGGTTTTGGTTTGTTCATTTGTTTTTAATCACGGAAATTTCAGGCTTGTCAGTTGAAGTCAGTACTGTGAAAGTATTCACTACATATATTTCAAATGGAGTTGCTTCTACAGATGTCTTAGGATGCTTGCCTTCTTGCAGACTTTTGTTAGTCTATCACAGCGGTTCTCAACCTTCCTAATGCTGCAACCCTTTAAGACAGTTACTCATGTTGTGACCTCAACCATAAAATTATTTTGTTGCTACTTAATAACCATAATTTTGCTACTGTTGTGAATTGTAATATATCTGATATGCAGGATACCTGATATGTGATTCCCCCAAGGGGGTCAAGACCCATAGGTTGAGAACCACTGGTTTATCACTTCTTGGGATAGAAATACTCCTATTTCTAGCTGGTCATATTTCTCAATTGATTTTGGCACAGTAGTCTTCCATAGTTAGAGTAGCAATGTTGGGATTCTGAAGTTTGGATATAGAAAACTTTTCTAGTTTGATTTCACAATGATTTTGCTTATAATGATATATTCTCTCTCACCAAATGTATTTTTTAAAGCTAGGAATCAAGTTATTATCTAACTCCCTCACAGACTTATATAGATCTCTGTGTTTATGAGTTTCCAAGGTTTGGTACATCAAGATTTTCAGAAAGCTATCAACACATGTTTGACAAATCCTAATGTAAATTGTTTGCATTTCAATAATAAATAAATAATAATTTTAATGTTAGTTTTATTTTAATTAATTTAATAAATTGATATTTAATTTAAAAAATAATAAATGATTAATAATAAACCATATTTTATTGTGTTAGTTCTTAAATGTAAAAATATGTGGCAAAGTTTCTAAACTTTCTGAATGTATTACGATCCTGAAGAGAATCAATACAATGTATGTGTGTGTATTGGAGAGGCATATCTTTAAAGAATAGGGTTGTGTGATTATAGACACTTCTTTCTATAATCTGGAGACCAAGGGTATGAGTTTCAGTTCAAAAGCTTCATGGCTCCAGACTCTAGAAGAACAATGTTCTGTTTGCATCTGAGGACTAAGAAAGGTAAGGTACTGCTCAAGACACTGGCAGGAATGGTATCAATTTTCTAGGGAGAGTCAGTTTTTTTGTTCTGTTAAGCCTTTAACTGATTGGATGAGAGCCAGGGTGAGGCGTGGTGGTGGATGGGCAGTGTACTTACTGAATTACCGATTCAAATGTTAATCTCTAAAACCACCTTCCCAAGCACACTCAGAATGATGTCTGACCAAAATCTGTGGTCCAGAAGACACAGGAAATTAACCCACCTGATGCTGCAGGTAAGGATTAGACAGAGCATCAGAGCATTCACATTTTGTATCATGCTGCCACACTTCTGGTGTGTATTCATATCCCAGACTGACCTCAACTTCTCTTTGTAGCCCAGGATGACCTTAAGCTCCAGATCCTCTTGCCTCCACTTCCCAGGTGCTGAGGTCGTACCTTTTCTCTCTCTACTTCCTTCTGTCAGTAGTGGAGCTGAGGAAGGTTGCTTGTAGCCTCCCTACTCTGCTTGTAGATCAGAATAGAAGAGGAGCACTGTGAGGCTAGGTAAGATAAATGACTGTTCTACAAGTGTCCAAAATATACTCAGATTCTAGAAGAGTTCCTGTTTAATTCACAAAATTAACTGCTTCTGCTCTTCTTTTGATGTAAAATATCCAAGCGCTTAATGTGTAAGACCAAAGTGTTTCTAACCCTGTTTTCAGAAATGAAGGTTCTCTATTTCCAAACAAATTGTATCTTTAAAACCATCTTGGGACCTGCCTATGTTGGGACAGGTTAAAAGGAATCAAAGATGGGTGCGAGCATGAGAAGAATTAGATTCTCTTCCCTCTAACGTTCACTTATGATTTCATTTTCTTGTCCACCTAATGGGGAACTGACTACATGTATCCTAGCTGCCTGGCAACTGGAGCATTGCCTACATGTGCCGCACAGACTAGGATCTCATATAAGATGACCTAAACCCTGTAACCTGCCCAGAACATAAGCTGATGTTCTAAGCAACAAGACCACCTCCCACTCAGCACACTGCCCATCAAGAGGCTTTCATGAGACAGATGCTCTCCTCTACTGAGGACTGAAGCTGTCTATCTACCTCATTTAAGGTGTAATCACAAACTTATGAAAACAGCTTGTCTGCAGCATGACAAGACCTTCTTAGCTACAGAATGGCAGGCACTCATACAATCTCTTTTGGTGCCACCCTGCATGTGATGGTTGGTCTTGAATGTTGACTATACTAAAATATGCCTCTAACACCAAGGCTAAGTCTTTATCCTTGTCACCACTGCCTCCTCATGAGGAATGAATACATACACACACAAAGTAAAAACTAAAATAGGAAGATACTTGGACTTGTAGAAGGCATCTCTGTGTGTCTATGAGGGGGTTTCCAGATCTGAGTAACTATATTATTTTTTGATGTGATAAAATACCATGACCAGAGGCAATTTAAGGAAAAGAGTGGTTTTTTTTTTGGTTTTTTACAATATATTCTGATTATAGTTTCCCTTCCCCCTATTCTTTCCAGCCCCTCTCCACATCCCCTCCCATCCAGACTAAGCTCTTGTTTGTTTGTTTTTCGAGACAGGGTTTCTTTGTGTAGTTTTGGAGCCTATAGTGGCACTTGCTCTGTAGACCAGGCTAGTCTCGAACTCAGACTGTCCCTGCCTCCCAAGTGCCGGGATTAAAGCACCACTACCTCCCCGCCCAGACTATGCTCATACCTTAAAAACCAAGCATCTAGCCTGTGGTGGTGGTGGTGGCGGCACACATCTTTAATCCCAGCACTTGGGAGGCAGAGGCAGGCAGAGCTCTGTAAATTCAAGGCCAGCCTGGTTAACAGAGCTGGTTCCACAACAACCAGGACTACACGGAGAAACCTTGTCTCAAAAAAACAAAAACAAGTATCTAAGGAATAATAATAAAATAAGATAAATAAAAAAACAAATTGGAATATGACCAAACAAGAAAAAGAGCCAAAGAAAAAGCATAAGAA